CTCATATATCAAAGTAATGATAAAGCATTAGAATACTTTTGTGTGACATAAACTTTTTCTTTATTAAATTGGCTAATAGCATCAATATATATATATATATATATTTCAAGAGCTTGTGAAATTATTTAAAGATTTTATTTTATAACTCTATCATATAGTTTAATAATATTCATGTCATTTTTATCATTGAGATCGAGTACATGCACAACGCGCGTATCCTAAAACTAGTATACTTAAAAGCACTTTGTAAAAACTTGATCAAATACTAATTACTGCTCAAAAGTATTTTGTATTAATTAGCTAAACACAAACTACTTTGCATCAAAATAAGCTGATTTTAGAAGCACAACCAAACATCCTATAAGTATGCTTAAACTATTTATAATTTACGTAATTAACGTAATATATACTCCGGTCAAAAATGTGAAAGCACCCTATTTGCTTTATTATCTTTCTCACCTCACAGCTATTAGATTAGCTAAGGGTGGTTGTAAATTTTGACATTTAAATCTTTTTCAAGTAAATGAACCAGAAAACAAATACGGAAAACCGAAATTAATCAAAGCTACATCACATGCTAAGGTGCAAGTATTAATTTAGAATATAGAAAAAAGGACATGTCATATTCATGTGAGGCACGTTCTCATTGGATGCCTCTTTAAATTAAAGTTGGCAAAAGTTGGATTTGTGAAATTGAAAATTATAGAAGCCGAAGAGGATTGCCTCCTTCTCAAGCACATTCATTCATGATTTCCTTTGCGGTTAAGAAACTAATATTCACTCTCCTCTAATTCATCTTTATAATGTTGTGTTATCACTAAACAACCAACAGGTCAATTAATTTTTTAGTGGGTGAGATCTTACATAGTTGCATTTATATTTCGATTAGATCTCCCCAAATAAATCCAGCCACATATTCTCTCAATTATTGCTTTCTTTTATTGATTCATTTAATTAATTTAATGACTAAAGGACGTCCTTTTCTGTAAAATAATACTATACCACTTGTGATTCAATTTGCAAATCCTTTATTAATTATGATCATTATACAAGTGCAGATCATGGCAGTAGATTTTCCAATTGAATTATTCTTTGTTAAGAATAAGAGATGAAAATCTCTACGAAAACTGTTGAAGAAAGATCCAATCAAGCGATATATATATATATATATATATATATATGCCCCTAGAGAAGCACAGGAGTCACTTTGTTTTAAGAAAGAAAGAAAGAAAGATATGTTGTTAATTACATATTACGTTAAACATTTACTAACTACTTAAATAAATTACTCTCTGTATTAATATATATAACACATTTCATGCCGTTGAACATTAGATATTGTGAACTTCTCTAATATCACATAGTATTCCAAATATAGTTCTGTTAATTTTACATTTTATAATTCAAAAAGAAAGAAAGAAGGAAAGCATGCCATCATTACTAAGTAAATGGAATACCTCAAGCTATAACTATAAATTACTACTTAATACTTAAAGAATATATGTAAATCAAATTAACTTGTAAAAGAAAGTTCCAAAATGTCACGATCCGAATTGCCCACCGTCGGGACCGTGTCCGCTAGGCAAGTCAACATTATTGATTATTCACCATTTTTACCTTTATATTTAACAGTTTACCAGATTAAAACAAGTATACAGTGGAACTAGAAGTGCGGAAGATCAGAATTTAATATTTAAGCTAATACTAATACGAATCCGTAATAATAAACCACCCAGAATTGGTGTCACAATCTCGCGGACTATCTAAGAAAACTACAAATAGGGTCTGAACAAAGAAAATACATGTCTGTCTCTGAAATAGAAAAGAACAGAAAGAACAAGATAGGAAGGGGACGCCAAGGCCTGCGGATGCCTGCAGGACTACCTCGGGGCTTCGATGGACTGAAGGCAGCAACCCCTAGCTAAGGTCCGTATGCTTTAGTACCGGGATCTGCACAAAAGAGTGCAGAGTGTAGCATCAGTACAACCGACCCCATGTACTGAGTAAGTGTCGAGCCTAACCTCGGCGAGGTAGTGACGAGACTTGGACACAAAAACAACATAACCTGCAGTTAAACAATATCTAACAGAATAACAGTAATAGAAGCTAAACAGAGATTAACGGGAAGGGGCAACATGCTACAGGGGATAACAACATAAGGAAACACGGAGATAACGGAATGAAACAATTAAAGCGCTTGAACCAATAGCAACAAGAAATCACAACAAGTAGGCAATGAATGCACGGCATCACCCTTCGTGCTTTTACTCTCAATCCTCGCTATGCATTCAATAAAGAAAATGTGCACGGCATCACCCTTCGTGCTTTTACTCTCAATCCTCGCTATGCGTTCAATAAAGAAAATGTGCACGGCATCATATCGCTCTTCCTCACCAAATGAATATTAGAAATGTGCACGGCATCACCCTTCGTGCTTTATCTCTCTTCCTCACCATATGCATCAATATCAATGTAAATGTGCACGGCATCACCCTTCATGCTTTATCACACTTTCCTCACCCAAACAATAGCAACAATCAATATCCCGGCAAGGGAATCAACATTAAGAATAAATGCATCCCGGCAAGAGAATCAACAATAAGAATTCAATACGTCCCGGCAAAGGAATCAACAATAAGAATTAAATACGTCCCGACAAGGGAATCAGCTATAACCAATCTTTTTCCAACAATTAACTTCACAATTGAACCTCAAATAGAGCCAATGCTCAACAATAGACAAATATTACGAGAAATGATCATAAGTCTTACTCACGCGCATGCTTGACACTTACTCAACACATGTAACCAACAATTTAGGCCTTTGTAGTACTTATCAAGAATCACAACGATCACAATTTAAGACTCACGCGCATGCTTGACACCAACCTATAGATACTCGTCACCACACCTATACGTCGTACACTACACTAGCACATAGCAAATAAGGCACAACACCTATTCCCTCAAGCTAAGGTTAGACCAAACACTTACCTCGATTCCACGGCCACAAATCAAGTCTCAACTATCGCTTTCCCTCTAGAATTCACCTCCAATTCACTTGTATCTAGTCATAATTAGTTTAATAACATCAATAAATGCTAAGAACTCACACCCAATGCTTAATTATAGTTTTCCCAACATTTTTCCCAAAAACCCAAAATTGGACCCCGGGCCCGCTTGGTCAAAACTCGAGGTTCGGACCAAAACCCGATTACCCATTCACCCCCGGGCCCGGATATGCAATTGGTTTTGGAATCCGACCTCCACTGAGGTTTAAATCCCCAAATTTTGAAATTCCCAATTTTCTCCCAAAAACACCCAAATTCCCATGGAAATCCCTAGATTTTGTGATGAAATCTTGTAAAATGATGACGTAGATTAAAAGAAATGAGTTAGAAGTTATTTACCTATGATTTGGGGAAGAACCCTCCTTTGAAAAATCGCCCAAGAGTGCTTAGGGTTTGAAAAATGAGGAAAATCCCGTCTAAGTTTCAATTTACCCAGGCGCTGTTATCGCATTTGTGATGCCAGGTTCGCAAATGCGAACTCGCAAATGCCGCTAAGGCTTCGCAATTGCGAAGGTTGGCCTGGCCTGATTTCTTCGCAAATGCGAACCATCGTTCGCAATTGCGATTACTACTGGAGTCGCATTTGCGACATGGAGCTTCGCAAATGCGAAGGTCCCCTTGCCCAGTCATCGCAAATGCGAGCTCGCATTTGCGAGTCAGGCTTCGCAATTGCGAAGCCTGCAGACCTGCAACACACCAGCTGCTGCTCCTAAGTTCAAAACACTCCGCGGTGTATGCAAAACTCACCCAAGCCCTCGGGGCTCCAAACCAAACATGCACGCAAGTCCAAAAACATCATACGGACTTGCTCGTGTGATCAAATCATCAAAATAACATCAATAACTATGAATTTAGCATCAAAATCAATGAAATTCTCAAGAAAACCTAAAGTTACTATTTTCACAACCGAGGGTCCAATTTATATCAAATCAAACCCGTTTCCTACAAAATTTCACAGATTAGACTTAAACATTATTTTAGACCTGTACCGGGCTCCGGAACCAACATACGGGCCCGATACCATCACATTCAAGCATTATTCAATTTCCAAACTTCCTATATTTTTCAGTTAAACAATTTTCATCAAAAATTCATTTCTCGGGGTAGGGACCTCGGAATTCAATTCCGGCATACGCCCAAGTTCCATATTTTCCTACGGACCTTCCGGGTCCATTTACTCAAAATTGACCGAAGTCAACTTAAATTCAATTTTTAAAGGCAAAATTAGCATTTTCTCAAAAAAAATTCACATACGGGCTTTTCGGGTATACGCCCGGACTACGCACGCAAATCGAGGTGAGACAAAATGAGGTTTTTAATGCCTCGGAACACATAATTGACTTTTAAATCAAGTGATGATCTTTTGGGTCATCACACAAAAACCTGTGCGTGTGCATGTCATAATATTTTTAGCTCGAGTTTATAGTCAAAGGCGGAGTTAGAATTTAAAGCTACTGAGCTCGGATTCTAATATTTTTATGTTACTGAGGAATTTGTACTTATTCAATGAATTTTGTAAGATAAATATAAGGGTTGCACTAAAGGTACTAGGTTCGGCTGAACTCGTTACCGAAGCTTTAGCTCCGCCCCTGTTTATAGTGTGTTGTTTCGGAGTTATCAGTTTAACGTAGATGGTCATTCTGGCTATAAATTTGTCCCACTTTGTATTTGCATTAATTCAAACCAAATTAGTTAAGTGAAACTATAGTATTAGTTTAGCATGATTTAGTAATAAAAATACATATAAAAATATAATTTATTGGAATAAGGTAAACACGAGTAAACTTTTCCTATTTTGGTGTCAAAAATCTGGACGTTTGAAAAAAAAAAAGGAATTCACAAGCAAAACAAAAGGAAAAAAACTTCAACCCTTCACCTCGCCCATCATCAATACTTACTTTAATAAATTCAAAATTGAAGTCGATAAATCAAAGGCCACCTACGCTCGGCCTCCTCATTCAATTTCCTCCTCCTCTCCTAGCCGGTCTTGACCCCCCCCCCCCCCCCCCCCCGGCAGCTTGGAGAGAGTCATAGCAATAGCAAAATGGGGTTCTTTTCATTTCTTGGAAGGGTTCTCTTTGCTTCTGTTTTCATCCTTTCTGCTTGGCAAATGTATTCTTTCTTCCTATCTCTCTTTATTTTTCAGATCTGCTCTTTATAGTTAGTCGTTTTTGTTTATTTTCATGTATTTGCTGCATATTTTGTCAATATTGATGGTACAGTTAGGAAAAAGTATGTGGGTGTTGATAGATCCAGCATATGTACACAGTCAAATATGTTTAATATGGTGATATGCTATGTGGGTTTTGAAATACATGTGTAGTTATGAGTGTATGGTTGAAGCTGGAAATAAAAGGGTTTGGTGATCTGTTGAAGCTATAAGCTTAAAACTGTCCTAGAATAGGTAATTGTTATTACTGTAATATGTATAATTAGATGAAATTGATTGTATATTAGTTCCCTAATCTCCTAGCTGGGTGGAAAATGTGGTTAAAAATAAAACTGTGGGGTGCTCATTATGTTCTTTCTTCTTTATGTTTTTAACTGTTTACTGTAGTTTCTGTTTTATCTCTTACTTCTCTTGTTTGTGTGGAAGCATTGGAGTAGTTTTCAGTCTTGATGCAGTTTATGTTGGTAATGTTTCAGGGTTAGGTCTAAGTTCCTGTTTTAGTTTCCCTTGGAGCCCGAGTAGCTGAAATTTGCTTTTGACCAATGTGTCCTTAAGTTGAATTTAATCAGATGGATAGGAGCATGGTTTCCTAACAGTACTATCTTACGCTCTTCAATTTTCTCCCATGTCTTCTTGATAGAACTGTATTTTGGACTGTGGGCTGAGTGGTTATCTTGTAAATTTTAGTTCTTTGCTTAAATGGGGTGGAACTTCCAAAGAAGGTCAGATAATGGTTTCATTTCTTTGAGGGTGAGCTCTTATATGATGTGCATGTATACCAGATTTGTGCTAATTGGTTGTTGAAAATTATTTCTTTCAGTTCTTTATTTATTTAGTGGGTGCATGTGAACCCATTTGTGCGAATTGGTTATTGAAAATAGCTCCTGTCGAGGCATTTTACCCTTTGTGTAAGCAATTACCATTACAAGAGGAAGAAGCTTGATCTTTTTGGTGTTGCTGTATTTTCTGTGCTTGAGTTAGACGGATGATTCTACTTTTTATCTATCATAGATTAGATTGAGTTGCCATCAGATACGATTAACCTGGCTTGAACTGAGCTAAATTTTAACTTTGAGCTCTTTGGAAGACATCTATAGGATGGTATAGCCCCATGACTAGTCCGAGATAGCCAGAAGTGTTTGAGTCATCGAGTGTAAAAGATAACATGTAGCCCGTTAACAGTAGGTTCAGATGAACACTTCTTTGCATAAAGAAATATTTCAGCTCCTAGTTTTGCTTGGTTTGCATTGTTAGATATTGGTCTTGGACACAATACTTTGGGCTTTTATCTTCCTTCTCCGAAGATAGCTAAGGTGCTGCTTGGCGGAACAAAATTTATGTGATATGTGTTGGTGAATGAAGTTGATCTTTTGCTTTGATGTTCAGTAGATATGCCTTCCGTTGTGGGGTCTCTGTTTGCTTCTATTAAAGGAAAATAGTTCAGCTCTGGCTGAAACTTTTCCTTTCAGTTCTTAAAAGGATATTGAGATAGCTAATGCTATATTTGCTAGTTTATGTTCTTCTCTGTAGTGGTTCTCGCCTTTCTGTTGTAGAACCATTCTCCTTCCTTTACTCTAATAAGCAAGAGCATTCCATCCTTAGATTCAACTTTAATATATGCAAAACAACTTTCATTTTTACCCTCAAGCTGTAAATTATATGTTATGCTGCAGGTTCATTAGGTTACTGTATTTTCTTGAGTAATGCTTAATGTTGCAAGTTTAATGATCTAAGAATTGCAAGTACTTTGCTGAGTGTGATTAGTTTATGGTTCAAGTTTATGTGAATTATCAAGGCGGTAGTCAAATGTAACTGCACTGTGTGGGAATATGGTGCTAGTGATTTTCTTTATTTACTGCTTCCTAAGCCCATCCCATCAAGAGGTGGAAGTATGTTTGACTGTTGTAGAAGTATTTCTCCATTGGGTACTCCATGGACTCCGTCTTAGTTTGCGTCTTTCTTCTTATGGTCCCACTCTTAGAATAAAGCAACAATCTTACAATTTTAGTTTCCATAGCTTTTTTTCCCCTTTAAAAATCCTCTTCTTCCTTGCTGATTTCCTTCTTCCGAGCCGATGCATTTCATCACTATGGAATGTGATTTTGCAGGTTCCATGAATTTGGGGAAGATGGTGGGCCTGCTGCAAAGGAATTGGCTCCCAAAGTGGCTGGTCTGCAGGATTTTCTTGAATCCAAGTTGGGTGCAGGGACACCAAAAATTGATGTAATGGTTCTATTTGTTATGCTTCCTTTTTTTGGCTACATAAGTTGAATGTTGTTTCTTTCATCTTAAAGATAGATACTGGTATGACATTTGTGAATCACTTTTTCCAGGTTAGTCATGTGGTAGCATTATTCATGGCTCTGAAAGGATTGGGTGGATTGCTATTTGTATTTGGCAGCTTCACTGGTGCTGTCCTACTGGTTAGGAATTTCAATCTCCTGGAATTGACACTTCATTTAGATTTTGGTTTAAATTATTTTAAACATTCAATCATCTATCTTTAATACTTCAGATGTTTTACTTGATGTTGGCCACTCCACTACTGCACGATATCTGCAACCTTAACTTTGGAGAACCACAATATTTTACTCTTCTACAAGAGTTCCTGCAGGTTGGTCAAATTAATTTTTATTTACTTTGATGAGTGAAATGCACATAACATGAATTAATCGATTCTGTGCCTTTGCAGAGCGTGTCACTTGTTGGTGCATTGCTGTTTTTCGTGGGGATGAAGAACTCGATTAACCGGAGGCAACCAAAGAAAAAGACCCTCAAGCCCAAGACAGCTTAGGATGCATGCATCAAAGAAGGGTTTGTACAAGATTGGATTATTCTTGGTGGTTGGTTTAGCTTTTGTGATTAGAAGTGACTAGTTAAGTCAGCTTTACACTTGGGAGTTCTTCAAGAATATTTTCCCCACCCCCTGGATTTTTTGCATTTTTTCCTCTTTAAATCCAACTATTATTGAAATTATGGGGGTGCAATATTGTCACTGTGAGGAGGTTTTCAATTATGGTGCTTGAATTACCTTTTATATTAAAGCTTTCTCAGTGTCCCAGTTGATTTTGTTGTTCTGAGGCTGAGATGGCATATTAAAAAAAATGTTTCTTACATGTAGCCTTAAACTGTTCTATAATGAGTTTAGGAAGACCTAAGTTTTTGTTTCCAACCCGTTAATATAGGATAAAATTGATTAATTAATGAGCTACCAGAGCAAGGATACTGATTAGTGATCAACTGAAGGAAAGACATGTTGCTTGATAGTTGCCAGATCACTTGAGTGTTGTACTACTATTGCTGAATTTGTTTGACTTTCAGTTGCGCTATTAAATTCCACTATATAAAAGAGTAGTATATCTCTTTCTAATTTTACTACCATAGTCTTCTTTTTCGTATTTTTCATTGAAAGTATAACACAACTCAACATTACGTGAATTACAAAACTAAATAAATAACCAGAGACCAAGTTCTTAAAGAAAACCATCTAATTACTTTGTTTCAAGGGTAGAACTCATCACGTTAACGTTATATGGGCCTTGCCAACTGATTCAGTTTGGGCCATGGTTGGCAAGTCAGGCGTAGCTCAAGAATGTTTTAAGAGATTTTTTCTTTCCTATACTATATATGAAACCTTATTACCAAAAATGTTCATAGTTTCTAATTGATCTGTCCTGTCCACATTTTTTTCTACAGTTATTATACCAATCATTAAATACTAATTAATAGTAGCTGAATCTTCCTAATTTGTCGAGCTAAAATTGAGGAACAGAATATTCTAAAAAGATTTGGCGTAAATCAGATCAAACCATATTCTTCCAGATATTCCTATTTAGGCGCGCTACAATTATGGAAGTAAATATTCTTCCAGCCATTTTCCACCATTGATAGCCATTAAAAAGCTTGAAAGCTTTGAATTCAAATTTGGATTTTCGAAAATCATTATTTGTTTGGATTGGGTGTTGTTGAAAATAATCGGGAATATGGTTTGGAGTTTATATCTCAATTTTGAGGGGTTTTGGTGAAGATTAGACTTGGTTTTGACTGAAATTTAGATTGAAACTCGAAGAAGAAAACATATTGCAGAAATTGTAGATAAATTGTAGATTATTTGTATTCTGATTGTAGATGCTTTATTTTCTGTTTTCACAAATAAAAAACGGCTAAAACTTTACAAATCTTCTGAAAAAACGTAATTATGTCAAAAATCACAATTATGCTACAATTGGATGGGAATTGGGATATAAAAATTCAATGTACCCAGTTTGTAGATATTTTGTAGATAAATTGTAGATTATTTGTATTCTAATTGTAGGTGCTTTATTTTCTGTTTTCACAAATAAAAAACGACTAAAACTTCTACAAATCTTCTGAAAAAATGCAATTATGTCGAAAATGCAAATGATGATAGGCTATAATTGCATATTTTAGTCGCTTATTACACTCGAATTTACTGCACTTTAATTGAGTTTGCGCTTTAATCGCTAGTGTTTTGCACTAATTGTGTGTTTTATGCCTTGTAGGTGTGATTCCGAGCTATATAGATGTTATGGAATGAATTTAAGTGATTTGAAGCTTTGAAGTCTGAGTAAAAGCTCAAGGAATTAAGCCGGGATCGTGTTCGGGGGTCAAATTTGATAATTAAGTACGAACGAAGACTTGAGGAGGCATATTGCGCACTGTCTAGTAAAATGACATAACTTTTTGCTCAGACTCCATTTGGGCTCCACATA